ATAATTACAAAGTTAATTAAAATGCTAATAAATTAAAACAATTCTAAGTCCTTGTTAAATAGCCGCCTGACTGCACAAAAACCTTGTTCCGACGGTCGGTTACAAGTCAAGAAGGTAGGAGAAGCTCCTCCCATAAGCGTGATGCGCCCGTTTCAAATCCATCCGCAGTTGAAAGAATAGTTCACTGGACACGCCCCTTGTTCCGCTTCAATGAATAGATATCGGCTACAGAGTGATGTCAACTAGGGAGCCGTCATGTGCGCTTTGCTAGGGTGATACCACCCTTTGTAATACCACTCGCCGACAAACCAGCAGCCATTTTGGTTCTCGACGATAATCCGTGGGGCTTATAACCCTCCCGGAAACGAGCACCTTATCTCACAAGTTCGGAGCAGCGTTGTGGAACCCACGGAGGGAGGATTAGCATTTTGCCCCTCGGATGGGAGGACCGATGGACACAAAGGCCACTTTCTGGCGCACGGGGAAACAATGAGAGGAACAAAATGGCGGTGGAAGAGGGTGTGGGAAAGAGAAACAGGCAGTTGGCATCACTCTATGCGAAGCGCACACGAAGGCACCCTAATGCCAACTTGTGACCTTTGTATTTCTCGGAGAGGGAACCGAACCCCTCAAAGGGACATTTGTATCCATCGGAGGGGAACCTAACCCCCCAAAGTCGTTTTTGATCCCATCGGGGGGTGGGACTTCTAATCTACCTCTTGTGGCTTTCACAATGCTAAGTCGAAGTCGAAAGATAAAGCAAATATTCACAGGAAGGCAAAACCCTCTCTCACGACGTCTCGGAAACAATGAGACGTGATTGGATGCGGAGGTGGTATTTGCCGCTACCTTCTTGACCTGTAACTTACTATGCTGACACCCAAGTCGGGTAAGGTAATGACAAAATTAAAAGCATACTACACGTAGCCAGGATTTTGTTTCGGGGGGGGGGGGGGGGGAGAGCCCATGACAAAATGCTGTATGAGAAGGAGGGAGGGGAGAGAAGGGGGCCTCAGCAAAATGAAAGATTGCCCCCCCCCCCCGGGCTACGTGCCTGGTCCTAAAGCTACTCTTCTTTTTTTTTTATTTTAATGAAATACGTTTGGTGCAACTAAAAATATATTTACCCTATAGCACGATTCTTTCTCATTCAGGCAGCGTTACAAACAATTAGAATAAATAATATATAAGGCGTTTTCGGAAAGGTCGAGAGAACTTTGCAATAAACGCCTTCTACGAGCTGTCATCTCTCCTTACTAGGCTATGGGACGCCTTCTAAGCATGCGTAGTAGCTCTCCTCCGCGAAATATCACACGCTGCGCCTGCGCTGCGTGCGATATTGCGCAGGCACGCAAGCACGCGAAAACGCGCACTTTCATGCGCGCACATGGACACGCATGCAGGCAGCGACATGCACGCACATGCAGGCACGCGTACGCAAGGCCACGCACGTACACACACATGGGCACAGGCATGTACACGCCCGCGCGTGCAGGCGCAACACGCACATTTAATTATGCGCACGCAAACACGCACGACCATGCGTGCGAACGTAAGCCCAAGTACATACGCGCCCACTCAAGCACGCACGCGCCAGCACACACGCACGAAGTAGGCCCGCATACGCATGCGCGAACACAGGTACGCGGATGTACGCGCACGCGCGCGCAAGCACGGATGCGCATTCACGTACGCACGGACAAGCCCGTGCACACGCACACATTCGCACATATGAAGGCACACGCCCACGCGTGTAAAAACCCACGCACATGCACGTATAATAATGTGAACACAGACAACCCTATTGGAAAAACGTACAAGAAACAAACCTGCTGCTTGTACAGTCCTGGTATGACACCAACATAATTTATTGTTATTATACATGCAGCTAGTTTGGTTTTGCGTTCTCCATAACTGGAGATACCGGCACCGCTATGGCTCCGGGTCTGTCTATACTGGCAGCCGGTTTGCTCGCCGATATGACTCGGTATGGCTGGTATGATTTTGCGTCCGATGACGTAGGCGACCGCCATCTTTCCAACGAAACGCCTATACCACAAGACCACCGGTATAACTAAACCATACATGCAGAAAGACGACCGCCATCTTCCAACAAAAACGTCCATCGTTTACCACCGGTATCGTTACATACATCATACATGTCGAAAAATAACATAAGCCGCGTTTACATGAATGCGACTTAGGGCCGGTTGCACCAACGTCGCTTAGCGCAAAGCGGAGCTTAGCCGGGAACTTAAGCTTAGTTTTGGTTTCGTTCGGTTGCACCAAACTCGCTTATCGCTAAACCTAGCACTAAACTACGCTTAACTTAAGCGCTCAACATTGGGCGCTTTGCTTCTGGTTGTTTCTTAACCCTGGATTAAAAACATGGCGGCTGGTTTGTCACGGTCGACGCGGTGGACGAAATTGGTTGTGCAAAGTGTTTTAGGCTACATCAGCGTGAAAGTCTCGACAAAATGACTTTCGATTGTGACAAGGATGCAAAATATTGTCGTGTGAAGTGTTTATCGACCCCTGTTTTCAAGTTGGCTCTCCACTTTCAGGGCGTGTTAGCCCTAACCGAGAAACGTACGGAGCTGTGGGGCTCACGTCTGTATTCCCGTTGGTTCTTCCGTCAACGAGCTTATTCGTATGTACTTACTTATTTTTGCATAGCTGTAACGTATTGTTATTTACCACCTTGTTTATTTACACTTGCAGCGCGTATCCTTCAGTCTGATCAGCGCGTTGAATAGTGGCAGTACATGATCTCGGCGATCAGCTGATTGTCGACACCTCTGCCGTTTGCATTAGATTGCGGCGCTTTAAGTAATAAAACAGCGAAAATTCAATTTCTTTCGTTTTCTGAGTTTTGAGAAGATCTTCAGTGAATTTTTCTTATCTCGCGAGTAGAATCTTGGCTTCAGCAAACTGTATCGTTCCATAACTGTAACTTTTTTGGTGATCGCATTTTTTTTTTTCATATACTTTGCTTTATATCTTTCATCCGTTTCCCGAGAACGAGATACTGTTGTTTCCGAGTTGTGCTCTGTGATGGTGTTTCCCTTTACTTTTGTCGTTTGTTGTCATTGTGACGATGGTTGCGACTATATACCGGAACACGTTTTCAATAAAATTCAGTAGAAAGTTGCGCCTTGTTGTGTCCTCCGTTACTTTTTTGGTGATCACGATTTTTTAGGAATATTTTGCTTTATATCTTTCATTCGTGGTGACGACAAATCGTAACGACTACTATGTTAGATTCGTTCATTGCTGTATCGGGGCAGGCTGGGGCAGGTGATGCCAAGGGACGACCGTTCTTATCGGCACGATGTGATGTACTAGTGGGAGTTTTTTTTTTTTTTTTTTCTGAACTCGACAGTGTGAAACTGAAGTCCGTTTGAGGCTGCAGCGGATGTTCAACGACGGTACAGTGCAGTTCTGTCACCTTGCTGATAGCAACGAGTACCGTCGATGGAAGGACTCTTGACCTGACCTCTCGACGACTTCTATTCGAAGATTTCCGGGCATTTTCGCAGCTGCCGTGGCGAGTTCGTCACTGTTTTGAACTTCATCGGTCTCAGGCTTGACTTGGTTTTAGTGGTCATCTTACCTGCCTACTTATATCCATGATGTTTTGTCTTCAGCGATGTAGCGAGTAGAGTGTCCTTCTCGCGTTCGGTGAGATTTGGGGCCCCCGATGGCTCCTTCGCCTCAAAATGTGAGCACGAAAACTACTACCACTGTCAAAATATCCTGTTATCAACCGATGTTAAACACACAATCAAAGATGTAAAGAGCATTCGTGTTTATTTGAAGCTTTGACTTCTGTTATTGAAAGTTAAACGAAAAAATGATTGAATTTGGAGGCCTTTAATTTGTTACTCACCGAAGAAATACAGCGAAAAGCAGACGCCGCCGACGACTACTACGGCAGTTTTTTTTTTTTTTTTTGCATCACGTGATTCCTCTCTGCCAATCGTATTCGTCGCTCTGAGCGTTCCCTAGTTTGCTCTGTTTGTCCCTAGATTCCCTACGCAAATCCAGCGTTTAGCTAGGGGCGCGTCTGTAAAGCCGGCTTAACGTTGGTGCAACCGGAATTTAAACCCGTGCTTACCTAAGCTCGGTTTAGGGCGCTAAGCCGGCTTAGGAAAGCGCCGCTTTGGGTTAAGGTAAGCGGCGTTGGTGCAACCGGCCCTTAGTCGCATTGAATCCAGTTGCCGCATTCAATATGCGGTCATGTAAACGGCATAATGCGCAAAGCGCATCGCGTTAAAGTCGCTAGACAGAGGTGGATCGAGATGGCGAGTGCGCATTCATTCAGCCCATGTAAACGAAGATCGCATCGCATTTTGGAACGGGGAGGATTATCGGAAGGCGCTCGCTGCGGGAGCGAGTGAACAGCTGAGAACATGGTGGCGGCCAACCTCGTCGGCGGCGCGGAGAGCGGTCCCGCAATTTTTTTCCCGAGAACAAACGCAAGCTTTTATTGCGATCATAAGTAAGCGGAATTTAGCGGAGCTGCTCGGTGAGGGCGGCCCCGTCCAAACCTTTGCGAAGTACGACTTGCGCGTCCGAAGGGGTCACAAAGGCTTCGGTGCAAGCACGCATGACACCGAGAGCTCCGATCACTGTAGAGCACTGCATGGTTGCGCAGAACGAGCAGCTCCTACCTCGCTGCCGTTCCTGGCTGCGCAAGAGCCTCTCGGACTCGGGGTCTGGTCGCGATCGGCGAGGTCTGGCGCGGCGAAACGTGGAGGCTTCCTCAAAGCGTGCACACACACGTCGCCTCTCGTTCAGAGTGGACCGGCGGCCCGGACTGGAGTCCTAAACGCCTTGGTTTTGATGCTTCTTCCGTCTCCCAACTTCTTCCACAGCACCGAAGACAGCGGGCGCGATCTTTACGTTCACTGAATGCGTCGAAAGGCCTCCACGTGCGATGCACCGGAAAACGTGGTGCGGCTAGTGCCGGAACGGAACTGACGGAACTGCATAACTTCGAGCTTTGAGTCAACGTGCACGGCAACAAACCGATCGTGACACTAAGCCGCGGATACCGCATCGCCGGTCGACAGGGGCAAATGGCCCGTTGCTCGTATCGTGGGCCGTGACTCGTACTCGGCCAACTCGGCGTCTTTTCGTGGCCCCTCGCGTCGTCGCAACCAGCCGCAAACATACCAGCCCGCGACCGTGGCCGATGTCGGAGAAAAGCGAAACCGAAACGTAAAGCTTCCGCCCAGTGGCTTCCGCTGCCGCGCCTTTTCTAACTTCCCGGCCAGTCCCGGTTTACACGCTTCCGGTCGTCGTGGAGATGGCGACGCAGCCAGACGTAGCGGTTTTGGCGCTGGCTCCTTCTGCGTTTTACGGGACAGATGTTTTACGGTCCGTTTCTACTGCGTCTCTGGCTCTCAACTCGACGACGCCTCTCATGGTTCAACCAGGCGTGGTCAGCCGGGGTCAGCACAGCTACCGGCTCAACTCGTCCGATCGCCGGACCGCAGGCGACTTCCGATTTCGGCCGTTAGGCCTAGGATCCGAAGGACTCTGTTTCCGTGCAGCGGTAAGCGAATCTCGTCCCGTTTTCGTTCTACTTTTAAATTACGTTAGGTGCGCTACAGTGTAAGCATGCGTGCCAAGTGTTCGTGACAATTTTGAACTAGAATAATTGTGCTTCATTGCGGTTTGTCATTTACGAAAAAGTAAATCGAGCAATGAACGAGGAGCCATGCTTGAAAACGATGTACAGGGTGTCACAAAAGAAAATTTACACGGTCTTTTTTACCGCAAAAATAAACTAGGCATCGCCGAACGCTCATTCTCCGCCCAAAGGTAGAGCTAGAGGTCATAACCAGGTGCCAAAGTTTGAGCCCGATCCGATAACTTAATCAAAAGTTATAAGTGATTTTCTGAAAAGTTCAATGGGAAAATGGAGCCCATTTTTGCCTGTTTTCGGTTTCTGGTGCCGTAGAGCCCTATGTGTTTGAAAACTCCGTCGGCCGCCATTTTCCCATTGGAAATTTCGGAAAATCATTTATAGCTTTTGATTAAGTTATCGGATCGGGCTGAAACTTTGGCATCTGGTTGTGACCTCTAGAGCTACCTTTGGGCGGAGAATGAGCGTTCGGCGATGCCTAGTTTATTTTTGCGGTAAAAAAGACCGTGTAAATTTTCTTTTGTGACACCCTGTATGTACGATGTTAACTTCTACCTGGGCGGCTTAAAAAAAAGTCAAGACTGGTTACGGTTGGATGCGAGGCTGGTCCCAATGCAATGGTAACCACTTAGAGCACCTTTCTGAACAGCATGTAAGCAATATAGCGATCAACGAGACGAGCGACGACGAGAAGCTACGAGTGCCGGCGCCGAGCGACGAAGATTTCTCACTCTCGCTGCTTGCGCCGCTCGGTTCCTGGGCTTCTAGAAAACGTCGCTCATCACCTTGATCGCTCGCACCAATCGCTTTCATAATGTGTGTCTCGTCGCGCAGCTGACTACCGTGTTTATTCAAATATATGTCGACCTTTTTTTTTTCTTTTCTTTTATTTTATTTTTTTTTTTTTTTTCGGAAATCGTGACTAAAGAATTTCGACCTACATTCGCGACCAAATTTTGCGACCGTACCGGAGGCATGGAGCTATCGAGTCACCGAGCCGGCGTTGCCGTAGAGCTGCGCCGCTTCTTGTTTCCAAAAGCTTTTGTTAAACAACCGAAAACAACAGCGGTGGCCGATGCCGCTATCGCGCGCACCTCTTGGGGCATTGGATTTCGCCATCGCACCTCTAGCGTTCCCCTTGCTGGGCAATGGGGAAGGAGAGGAACGCGATGCGCCATGCACTTTGTCCTCCATCCTCGCAAACGCGCACAAAAAAAGAAAAAAAAAAAGATGTTACTTTTGTTAGTTGCTTGAGGCGTCTCGGCTCGCGTGTTGCTCATGGCGACACGGCGGCTTTGTTTGCGTCTTTGTAGTTTGTCTTTCGTCGCTTCGCACCTTCTTTCGTTTCTTGTCGTCATTTTACAACGGTGTCAGTGAAGTATTGTGGCGGATTTGCGAGGATGTCTACCAAGCTGTGAAGTGATGTAAATAAAGGTTTCTTTCTTTTGCCCAAAATTTCCCCTGTTCTTAAAAATAAAAAAAAAGTCGACCTATATTTGAATTTTTTTTTTTTTTATTCTCGGTGGGTCCAACAAATAGAGTTCGACCTATTTTCGAGTAAATACGGTAACTTTAATTTTTATTTTGGGTTACGTCGGACGTAACTCGAATGCTTGACAGTTACGTTGGGCGTAACTTTAATTTTTATTTCGGGTTCCGTCGGACGTAACGTTAGACACTGCGTTACACTTAAGAAAAATAGGGGCTGATGGTTCATCATATAAACCAACCATTTGTGTTTAAATAAAGCGAGTCACTGGCCTAAAAAAAATACTGCTGTCCTATAGGAATGTAGCGCTTCAGATAAATTTGTTAATTTTTGCTTTTAGTCTCTGCCCCACCAGATACAACATCTGGCCTAAAGCAGTGTTCCGGATCTCCTTCCAAGACCTCAGGCGGGTCGTCATTCAATCCAGGAGGCGGCGGCGTCTCATGGGCGTGTTGCTGGTGCTTCTTACTGGATGGTGCTACCGAGGGAAAAGTGGTCGTGCTTGGGAAAGGCAAGTATGGCCGCCGTAAGTATAGATATTGTTTTTACCTTTGCTCGGACCCACCTTTAAGAAATGCACAGTTCGCATGTGTGCATCTCTCAATGCTTCTACAGTCGGCTGTTAATATTTGGAGTGCTCCAACTCTGTCAGCGCTAGTTTCTCTAGATTATGCAAATGGGATGCAACACTAAACCACATATGCTGTCGCAACAAACAGTGCTCTGCTGAAGCACGCATTGTGGAATCTACTCTGGCTTTATAATGCAGCACAAAATAGTTGACGCCAAGTATAGCTACTTTTGTGACTCCGTTTTACCAAAAGCTCTGCCGAAATAAACTTGCCACCTTATAGGTAGTGCAAAAGAACCTCGCGTGCCTAACCTGGAGAAGGGCATTTTTTTCATAGGTCAATTTTTTCTTAAACCAATACCTTCAGCCTCCTTGAAATGTTAACATCATGTGACACTCAGAAGAACAGTAAACCCCTTAATGTTGGCGAACCTTTACTTTTCGCGGCCTTTAATTTTGCGGAATTCAGTGACTGCGATTATGTCCTCTGTGACCGATTCGAGAAGAAATAGGGGCCACCAAGATAAGGGGGTTTTACTGTCCATGGAGGAGAGAGGAAGTCACCTTTGTTTGTATGCAAGAGTAAAACCAACAACAACAATCATGGTGCCGACACTTTGTGAGCCTATCTGTGTCTATTGAATGATATCAATTTTGTTTTTGTTCGTTAAAAATTGTTGCCTGTCCACTGTGGGATGTCGTCTTCAACACGAGCAGTGGTTTTCCTCTGAAGCAGGCAGCATGGACGCGTGCCGCAGCACAACATAGTTTATTTGCAGGTGGTACCGCAGTTTGAAGGATGGTTCGCACAATATGGGGGAATCGCAATTCAATGTTCTACCTCGGGCGTAGACAAGATTTGCTCATTCTAAATCATTTTGTCTACAAATCGGGAACTTGCAACGAATGTACCCGCATGGTTGGAAGGGCCAGACAAGCCTTGCGAGCGCTTCGTTTTCTAGCCTCTCAGTCCTGAACCTACTCACGCACCACATGTGTAGATGTTCCGGTACGTGGGAGCACTTATTTGGAAAATGGTGAATGGCAACTGTTGTTATCTTTAAGGTGGACTGCATATTTGCAGTACTTTTCCTCACTTAAAAATATGTCTTACTAAAAATATGTAGTATAGCCGATGACAAAAAGAGAATGGCTGGGCGTCCTCCAGCACATGCTTGTGCTTTTCACCCCGCTTTAGACAGATGTGCTCGCTCCAGGCTCATCAGGCGCTGAAACGTCATCGAAGGTAGCAGACGGGCTGGAGGTCGAACAACGGAGACTTCTCCCTGCCTTTCTGATGGTGTCAGTGAGCATGTACTTCTATACTCTAACTTAGCTTAACCTGCACAGAGCTGAGTAGAATAGGCTTGGCAAGTGCCCTTATTGCATATGCATTTGTACAGCTGAGGCACTTTCTAAATCAAGAACATTGTGTACCTTACCTTCAAAAACACATCATTTTGGGGGTGCAAAAGGAATTCTAAGGCATATTTTTGTTTGTATTGTCCTATTACGCATCGACTCCTTCAACTTAATGCGGAGTCGACCCAGCCTCTTGAAAAATTTAATGCTTGCCAGGTAATTGTTTTGCATTTAGTTGATATATCAGTATTCAGTTAGGTATCCCAAGTCATTAGTCGTTGAGGTGGAGTCTCTCTGTAAGTCACTCATGTTTAACAGTCATAGAAATGCTTGTCAAATAATGGCACTGTCGAGGACATGTATTCAGCTCGAACAATCGCTGGGCACAAGCTGGTCATGTGGTTACAGGCAGCAAACATCCCGGTTGGAACGTCCTATTTCGCAATGTAGCTGCAGACTAAATGAGGGCCCCACTCATAAACGTCTATACTTTTAGTCTCTTTAAGCTGGACCACTTTTGAAACTACAAGCCTTTGCAGCAAAAACAGCATGACGCATGATTATAAGCTCGACGTACCATGGCGTCCAACTAGAAGGTCACATGGCTTGCTTTGTGCACTGAATTTGCAAGGATGGCTTGAAGCTTCTGTCGTGGTTAACTTTAAGCTGAGATAGTTTAAAATAATGCTCTCAGTTTTTAGTGTTGCCCGGCATGGTTAACAAGTTGGTGATATAGCGCTGCATTGAAAAGTCTGTGCATTCATGACTGTATCACCTTATGAATGCAAGCTACCTATTAAACTCTTCGTTTTTCAGAGAAATGAAATGCACTTTGCTTCCAATTGCACCCGCTTCTGTAACTTCATGGTATGAAGCACCTTATGGCTGCAAGCTCTGACCGATCTTGTTCTGTGGTCTGCGCAGGCCCATATGAGGGAGTCACTCCGAGAGCCTCACCAGAGTTTCCTGCCCGTGGTCGTTCTAAATGTTTTTGTTGTAGGTATGCAGCCTTTCTGTCTTTCCCTTAATTGTACTCAAACGTCTTCTTTTCATTGTCGCCGATTTGCCTCAAAATTGGTTAAGCACACAAATGCACGCTGTACAACTGTATTGTACATATTTTTTCCAAGGTAACTTTTCTTTGCCAAAGTTAGATTTTTTTATGAAGGTTAGTCTTTTTTGTTTTTATTTTCAAATTTATGTGAGTTTCCATGGGCAACACTAAAACGTTATGCCAGAAGCAAGGACAAGTTCACTGCTCTAATTTGTTCTCAACTGATTGCAAGAAATTTCGTTAATGTCGTGAAACCTCCTTCCAGCGCTTGCTTTGCAGCATAAAAAAAAATTATACATAGGACATACTCTGTTTCTTAAACTGCTTGCTCATTCTGCAGGTCTGCCTGCCATAGATGTCCTGCTACTGGAGAGCAGGCGAATTCAATTGCTGGTTTTGCCATTGCTTTTTTTTGTTTTTAGACGTTGTCTTAGTAGTTCTTGTAAATTTGGAGATTTTCCTAAAAAGCAAGCCGGGAAGAATATTTAGTTTAGTTAGGAAGCTGAAAATAATGATTTAGTACCCCTTTGTCACTAAAATAGATACTGTGTGCCGCTGTTAGTGTCAAGCCGAGATCCACGCTTTTTTGGCATTTTGCTCAGAGTGGTACCCATTCTTATTCGTTAGCCTCTTGGTGTGCCAACTAAACTCTTTGTATACAGACACCTGCCCTCTGCTGGTACACTCTACCCTCATGTTCAGCGAGTGTATGAACCAGAGTTGTATCCACAGTCGACACTCGCTGAGCACGAGGGTAGGAAAATCTTTCCATTGCAGCAGAGCCATATATGGGGAGAGTCTGGCAGTCTATGATTTCGCTGCCGTAACGTCTCCCTTCCGAGTGAGCTGATCAGCCCGCGGCACAGAGCAAGAGGCGTGAGCGCATGCGCGTGAACTCTAGGCTGCTCCCAGCTGAGCGGGGAGGGCCGCCATTTTCATTCATTCGCCCGGCATGGGATCGATATTCAAATTTCGGTTCTTTCCTTTTATTTGGCAGGCTCTGGCAATAAAATGATATAGTGTTATTCCTCGGTGGCTTAAAAACCTAAAGAAAGAAGTTCCTCCATGTTTGAACGCACTTTTATTTAGGCAAAAAAAATAAATAAGCCCGTAGCAGACGACACGTAGCCTCAACAGTGCTCCGTGCAGACAGCTTTGCGTCAAAATGGTGGTCGTCTCCTCTTTGTTTCTCTGCTGCCTTCTCTCTCCCTCCTTCGGCGTTCTCCTCCCTTTCCTCCTCTCCGGCGCCTTCGTTGCCACACCCGCTGGCTAAACTCTCCCACTATACGGCTTTGCATTGCAGTAGTAGTTTTATTTGTAGTCTTTACAGTTGAATGTGAATATTTGACAGAAGTCTCAGGTTGGGGCGAAAGGGGGTTAAATGAATGCATTTGATCATTCACCTAAATTCGGTACCCATCATTTTAACGCCTACGTAGCTTTGTCCTGGGGGGTGACTATGACTAAAATAAGAGGATCTATGTGCTGATCACGAAAGAATATGCTAGCCATTCTAATGTAGCTCTGCCAAGTACTTGATTGTGATTTGTTTTTATTTTCAGCTACTTGGGTGCCTCAAGATCTGGAGATCCTAGTGGCCACAAGCTTGGACTCAATCTTTTTCTGTGGTCTGGGCAGGACCATGGGGGAGGTAATCCCAGCAACAAGAGCATCGCAGTATCTCCCTGGCTGTGACTTTCGGTCTGCGTCACGACAGGGGAGTCCTCGTGCCACCAGGTGTTAGGTATGCCACTTGAAATAAGCATTTTTCTTACCTATTAATAGAACAGCAAAAGCACTACTAAGCCTAAAATGAAAAAAAACATATTCAAATCTTGGGTTCGATGAAATTCCAATTACAAAAAGGAGTCTGCAGACATGATTAACATGTGAACTTAAAGCCCGCGGATGTAGGTTCGACGGTGTCACAGAAATAACTTCCCGCAGATCTCCTTGCTCGTGCTATACCCAAACAAATTCTTAAAATAATCATTGTGTTTCGTTGGTGTCATCAATCTTATGTCCCTACCACACTCACCAGTCGGGACATGTGAAATATAAAAAAACAGGAACTTGCACATTGTCAGCTCTGCAAAGATTTATATAGTAAACAGAGCATAGCACGTTCAGCTTAAGAAAAAAATTCAGTGCAGGCCTATATTCATGGTTCACATATGTGTAATTGCTCTTTATAATGAAGTGAAAACTGCTTAAGTTGTGGCCCACTACAGGCTTTCTATTAGTGTTAAAAAGTGCGGTAGAAAATATGATTGCGCTTGGAAGACGGGGACATAGGAAGGACAGACACAACAGAGCGCTAACTTTCAACTGATTTAATTCAAGAACCTCAGCGTAGAAACGGACTGTGTCGCCGCACCACATCTCAACCAATCCGTGGCCCTGCCACGGACCGCAAGTACGCCAAATCCTTATCCGCCAAGTCAATTGACGCCACACTGACACAACTTGTGCCGGAACTATTTATAGTGTCAGCCTCCATAATCTCGCTAACAGTCCTATCTTTGTGCCTCTCAAGAACAATAGACGAAACAAATAATGGTTTGCACCCGCAGTCATGACAGTGACACGACAGATCATGACTGCGAGTGCAAACCATTATTTGCTCAGTCTACTGTTCTTGCTAGGCACAAAGATATGACTGTTAGAGAGATTATGGAGGCTGATGCTATAAATAGTTCCGGCACGTGTTGTGTCAGTGTGGCGTCAATTGACTTGGCGGATAAGGAGTTGGCGTACTTGCGGTCCGTGGCAGGGCCACGGATTGGTTGAGATGTGGTGCGGTGACGCAGTGTGTTTCTATGCCGAGGTTCTTGAATTAAATCAGTTGAAAGTTAGCACTCTGTGGTGTCTGTCCTTCCTATGTCCCCGTCTTCAAAGCACAATCATGTTTTCTAACGTACCGTACCAACTTGCCCAACAATCAGCACTTGCTAAAAAGTGCTATTGTGTTTTAAGCAGCTCGCACCAAATATTTTCTTGAAATACATAGGTTCATGGAAATTATTATGTAGATGTTGGCAGACAGTCATGGTGAGGCCAATCCTTAATGCCAAGTGGTCCACTTATTCAGAGTTAATTGAGTTTGTAAATATTGTAGGTCGCAAATTAAATTTTTATGGTACGCAATGGGCACAATCATCCGTAATGACTAGCTCTACCTAGGGGAACTTCATACGTTTACTACGGCAAGATGGTTTCGAAAAACAAAGTATTTAGTTTATTCAACTCCTGCACTAACCTTGTCTTTAGAAACTTTTTATATTCTTTGCGATGCTGAGATAAGATTCTGGAAATAGTTTTTCTAGAACTACTCTAGATATTTCCAGTTCATCATTTTTCTCGCAAAGCATTCGAGAGAGCCAAACCCTGTAATGTACGGAGGGAACTCACAGAATGATGCGACTGACAGTTTGGAACATTCGGCACTGTAACAGTAATAATGACATGTCACTTATGTAATGTTCATTATCGCAGATCAAACTGCTTTTTCCGTCTACACTCATTTTCAGTAGACTCATTCAGCGAACTTCCACCTGAGACTGCAGCGCTGGGTTCTGCAAAGTAATTTGAATGAATATAGATGCAACAGGTTTCTTTGAGCGTGCGTCTAACACATATTCTTCATATTGAATCTGCTAACTGTATTCATGTCCATGTCCATAATTCCACATTCCAGCTTATTTTTATTTTGACATTTGAGTTTTCTTCAGTACTTTTCTCAACATCTGTGCTTGCTGAGCCGTACTCAAGTCCATACATCTTGTCTTTCGCTATTACATTAATATATAAAACTGTTGATGCCGAGTGAGAATTCAAGGTACCGAATCTGTCGTGCGAGCTAAATAAGAACCAATAAAAAGCTCTACAAAGGAAATTTTGTTAAAGGATGCTTTATGGGCATTAGAATAGCACATGCCATGCTAAAAAAAAAATACAAATTCTTGTTAGGTATGCGAGGATGACAGTGCTGTGCTGTTTCTGATGTGTCACAAAAAAAAAAAATCAGTGCCATACAGTGTTCCTTACGGAAGTACAAACTGTTGAATTCGAAGCCCAGAAGTTTTATTCAAGAATGTTCCTCAATACAAATGTATTTAGAGATCTGAGCCACTGACTCATACATGACTATGTGGCAAACATTGATTTTCATGTGGATTATAGTTTACAAGGTCTAGTCTGCATTGATTTATTGCATTCATGCTGAAACTGGGAGGTGTTCTCTGGGTATGAATAAAGAGATAAACATTTCTTGAAATCAAAACATTTGAGAACGGACAAAAGGAAGGATCTGAGAACGGTATCTTAGATTCTCTTCTTTTTCTTACAGTATCTCTAATGTTCACTTTATTTCACCTGATGCATTTAGTTTTTAGCGCAGCTCTTAGCACCCGTTTCCGCGTTTTGCGGCGTCGCTGTCGGCGTAACCACCCAACTAAACTTGGCAGGAAATTGAATTAATGTTGTGGTCATGTGACGTTAATATTTCCGCTAAGTCTAGCTGAGAAACTGAATTTTTTTATGGCTGACGTGACACGGTCATGCGACGTCATTTTCCCTGCTACTTTTAGCGGAAAAACTGCATTTGTGTTGAGGTCATGTGACATCAATTTCTGCGCTAAATTTAGTGGGAAACTTAACCAGCTAAATTTAGTGGGGAAATTTTCCCGCTAAATTCAGGGAAGTTTCCTGCTAAATGGGAGGGAGCAGAAGAGGAGGAGGGGAGGGGGAGGAGGGGCATACCTTCCCATCCTCCTCTTCAAGATCTGTGCTCTAATTTCACGTTACAGAGAATTGTAAACGTCTCATATTTCATCTCATGTTTATTCAACTTTTATATTGCAGGTGCGCTCGCAGCACAAATCTGGGTTGTGCTGATCCTCTACGCACAAGTTAGGAACTCCTGAGTGGCAAGAGTGGGAGTTTGGTCTGACAGCTCAAGGGACACCATTGTTCAGTATTGAATTTTTAATAATCTTCTTTTAAGCAAAGTTAAGCTTTGCTGCATGCAGTTCTTGTAAAAATAAATACCTGCAACCAAATTTACCAGGTCACGACATTTCGCCTCTGCTCTTAGTGGTCCTGGTGAGCCTCGGATAAGAGCTTACTGGTGTGCAAACACCATGCTTGTTTGAAACCACTCACTGATGTAGAGACTCGCTGACATCCAGCATTCCAATGAAACGCTGGATGTCCACAAGTCTTTCTTGAACAATGCAAGCGGGGAAGGAACCATACAATCGTATCGTATTGGGGGACATTCTACAGTTTTTTTTCTATGTTTTACAGATTTTTTTTAAAAAAGCCGTAAAAGCTACATTTACGCGGTCTGTGCACGTGAGTTATATGGCCAGGGCGGCATAGTATAAAAGGCTAATTTGTAATGATCCGTCGGCTTATTACAGAGATGTGCCAGACTTCTTTCAGAAAACTAGATGGAGGTTCATTCTAGCGTAGTTTTATCCCGCGAATCTGAATATCCCGTTCGTTTTCCTCAAAGATATAACTAAACGTGAGAAAACACAAAAAACATCCCACCAACAGCGACATCCTAAGAAGACCTTTCGGCCGCCAAGCGTGTGTCGCTTAAGGGCCGCGCGTCCAATCGCAAGTTTTCTAGGTATATTCTCCGGCACTGGCACCAGTCGTGACACATTTTTCTGCCCTTTTAAAAAATAGCATGTGCGTGCATAGCTTTGATAGGCGCTGAAGATGCGTGAACAAAGATTTTGAAAGCTGCTGTTGTGACGTCGCTCTCTAGGGAGGCGCTTTCACAGCGCTTTAAAAATGACTATGCAGCCTCGATTAATTAAATTAGCAAATAATTTTGATATTTGAGATTCTGGAGGTCGAATGAAGGAGATTTAAAAGTGTTTTCTCAAATACAAAACTGCTTCAGCCTCTCTCTAAGTATAGTATGTTCGTGAAATTTTTAATCAGTGAAAATAGACCCATGGTTCCAATTAGAAACCTGCTAAGCATCATCAAAACACACTAAATCAATTTTCTTTGTAAAGATATAAGACGAGTAGCATTTTATGGCGTTATAAAAAAATGGTCAATTTGGACGCATTTCCAGACTTCGGTTTCTTACCAGAGCGCATCTTTGCACCTGCGGTCCTGCTGCCCGGTGACCGCAGTGCGAAGCCGCCCCCTCGCCTCCCTCGTAGGATGAAGGGAAGCAAGGCGCATGTGTGTTGCGTGTCTATGCCCCTGGGGAACAGGACCGTGGGTGCAGAGATGAGCTCTGATAAGAAACTGAAACCTAGAAACTCGTCCAAATAAAGCTTTTTACAGAATGCATAAAACGCTACCCCTGAATTATATCCTTTTAAAAAGACATTATTTTGTGGTTTTCAATGACTCAGCAAGTTTCTAATTGAAACCATATTTTCATTTTCACTAATTAAAAAGTTGATTAACAAATTGTATTTAATTATCTGACTGATCGTTACGACTAGGTCCCTATACTACGTACGCCTGGCCGTATAACTCGCCTGCACAAACCGCATTAATATAGCTTTCACGACCTTTCTAAACATATATGTAAAGCTTAAAACTAAATCGCCAAGTACAACAGTGAAAAGGCGAAACCAACACGCTGGAGCCATATGGCTCCACCATGCTGGTATCGCCTTTTTGCTGGTATAGGATGTCCCATATTACGTTATGCATGTATGGTTCCGTCCGCCTACATGGTTCCGCCTATATCCACTACGCTGGTATAGGATGTCCCATAATACGACACGCTTGTATGGTTCCGCCCACCTGTATCGTTCCGCCTTATTCCACTATACTGGAGCCGCCTTTTTCGCTTGTATAGGATGTCCCATATTACGGTTACGCTTGTATGAGCCTTTTCCGTCATCTTTCCATCATCGAGATTTTCCAATAGGGAAGCGCGACGCGCGCATTTTAATTAACTTTTAATTCACGCGTAGGCAGGCAAACACGCATGTACAAGCACGCACAAAAAATCTCGCGCGTGCACGCGCACACGCAGACACGGACGCGCACTTACGTACGCAGGCGCGAGCACGAACATGCATGCACATAATAGAAAAATTCGACGAAACGTCATAAGGTGTATCGATGAAACGAACGCCGGCTATTTCCGACGGAAGGATTTATCGATGCAAAAGTGCATCTTCGAAGAAACGAGCTGTCTATGAAACGTCATTCGACGAACTGATTGCATGGCACCGCGTATATTCGGAATGTACTACATAAAACAGAGGTCACTAAAACAGGCACACAAGAAGCATAACTGTTTTCAATGCTTCGTGAGAAATCGTCGGACCCCAGTTGCCGAAACAAATCTTGCATTCACAGAAACACAGATACAATAAAGCGGCATTCTAACCACGGTCATCTCCTCATAAAAATAAACTACGCATTGTCAAATGCTCAGCCTCCGCCCAAATGCCGCCTAGCGACAGAGACTGAGCGTTCGACAATATATAATGTATTTTCGCGGCGAGAAAAACATGCTTCGGATTTCTTTCGAACGCACTCTAAAGAAATGCATATTATATCTATGATCAAAATTTGCATCCCTCTGAGAGGAAGAAATGTAGTACTTACCATGCCAGAAGAAGCGTCGTATTTGTTCTTGTAAGATCGCTTTGACCATGCACCGTCCGCAACGACGGTCACAAGCGGACAGCCTTCGGCATCGATCTCGCCAGATTCCCTCGCGCGCCTCGCTTCTTCAACTCCGGCCTGTTGCATGGCTTGCCAAGCGGCATCTTCAACACCCTGAGTCAATTTCTTCTCGCAGTTCGCAAAGGTCTTCCTGGACATCGCCGGCACATTCATTGAAGCTAAAAGCTCTGCCAAGTTCGATACCCCGCAACCAACGGAAATTATTCCCGAGACCGCGGCAGTGTTCACGTCCATGCGAGACTTTGCTTCCGCTGTGTGAGGAAGTACCTCAGACTCAATCACAGCCTTTTTGTTGCACATCTTGCAAACGAACGTGAAGGAACTGTGCAGCCCGCGTCTCTGTTCGGACACGAACGCCATGTCTGCGAACGAGCAAGAGAATGGGGCATGGTCGCAAGCTCCTTGTACCGACCGAAACAAATGACCGATGTCGACAACGCGACGACCCTCCAAAACGGACGTGGATGCTTGCGCTTGTTCTGAAGGTCGGATCACATCTTCATCCACACAGAAGCCTATTCGTTCTGAAGAACCGCCTGGTTCCCCTGCAGGTTCTACCTGTTCGTCAAGAGCGAACGGCGAGTCTTCCGCGGTCGCAGCACCAGCATCGCCTGGATTTCTCTCACAAACTGAACCACGAGCGCTACGACACGATGACTCAACCTCACCTGAAACCTCACCATCCGTAGTTTCAGCAGAGGGTCGCTTACGAGTAAACTCTATTTGCGACTTCGAGACCTTTCGCTTGCCATATTTATACCTCTTTGGACCCATAGCTGCGACAACGGCCTTTGAAAACACGCACAGCTATCCGCCTGACATCCACTCCGAAGAACAAAACCACTCTGACTGGACGGGTCTTGCCGTCTCTGGACCACCACAAGCGCGTTACTGAAGAGCGCATGCGCGCGGAGTAATACAAAATCAGAGCAGCCTGCGTGGCGGAACCGTGGCGCCCTCACGCGCCGCTCTTCGAACTAGTCGTGACCGTCCAAACAAGGAAAATCAAGCCACATCACCTTGGTTCAGTTTTTTCGACGTAGTTACAGAACGGATGTACTTCCAGCTATAATTCGAATATAATTGAATTCCGTGTTAAATTCCGCAGATATTCCACCAGAAACATTTGTAGTTCGAAATTCACAGGTTTTTAAAAACGCGTTCTAACGTTAACATGTCAAAACAGCCGATTCCAACCGATTTCACGATTTAATATAAAATATAATAAAATTTTTTATGAAAACTATGCTCGGTGGGATATTTGGACGAAGAATCAATCTTTTTATAGCAAAAAAGTTTGAAAAAATCGGAGTAGCGGTTATTAAATGAGAATTTTCGTAAAATGGCAGAAAATCGCGTGTATTCTCTATGGGGCTTGGAGGAGCGCTCCCTCTTAAGGGCAGCAGCCAAGGCCACCAAGGCTACGAGCTTCCGCTCCTAGCCTTCGCTGCGGTACAACATAAGGTGAAAGGGAGTATAGCTTCCAGCGTACATCGGCGTTGCGCTTGCGCCGTGGCCAGATTTTCTCTGTCGGCTCCAACGTCAGCTTTCAAGATCACCTACAGATGCAGCAACACTGATATAAAGTTTTAATATGGCGGCCACCGCGGACCGCCGTAAATTCTGAGGGAGGGCAAGGAGGTTAGAAGTACTAGAAGGGGGCACGTTGCAATATTGGCGAAGCCTAGTCATAAAAAGTTTAAACGATGTTGTGGCCAACGTGACCGTAGATCCCTCTGGCCATTGGTGCGTGTGACATGTCACGTGTAAGATGGATGGTTGATTGTAGAAGGATTCCTTCCAGGCTTGCGCGCACTCCGTCCGGTAGGTTTTATCCCATCGAAGGCTAGACTGTGGTGTATTCTGATATCCCATAGCTAGACGAAGGCTAGCTACGGTCACGTGATGTGATCACGTTGGCTTGATAAGTGAGGAGAGTAAGGATGAAAATGAGAAAGAGGCGAAGCGTCAAAAGAGCATGGCTTGTGGAGGCTACGTGGCTGGCGTCATGCCTTCTCCTACCAACACCTCCTAGAAATGAGTCCGTAGCGCTCCGAGTGGGCACGTCACAATGTCAAAGGAAGGAAGGCTATGGCGCAACTGCGTGAGAGTATTCCTGTTGTCGACGCGTATCGACGTGAAAAAAAAAAATTTCTTCTTGAGCGGCGCGGTAATGTTTGTGCGCGTTTATCCGACATTAATACGCGTTTTAAAAGTGCAATCTTGTACAATTAATTATATATATAATATAAACGTAATATACAACGCGTTACGAAGGTTGAAAGTACCAAATTTATATTTCTGATTATCCCCATAACCGCGGGACCACGCGCAGTCCCGCAGCTCCCCACACTTTTCGAATGAACCGGCTCTGAATTTCCGATGCGGCATCTTCCATCGTACGGGCTCTGATTCTGGTAAATTTACGTTGCGTGTGAGCTGCTGACTGTCTGCAAAGGTACGCTGAGACATTTCAGAAGGGAAAGGAACCGACAAAAAAATTCATTCCTCCCCGCAGGGAGGGGCGCGCTCACGAGCAAGAGATGGGTAGACAATGTTAAGCCTCTCGTCTCACACTGCTGGTGCTGCTCTCGTGCGTGCGTGCGTGCGTGTGTGTGTGTGTGTGTGTGTGTGTGTGTGTGTGTGTGTGTGTGTGTGTGTGTGTGTGTGTGTGTGAATCTTTTGATCCTCCTACCCTTCGTTTGTTTTTTGGTTTTTTTGTCGTCACCGCAGTCCCAAGAAGGTTTTTTTTTTCGCTTGATACTACGGCATTTACGTGAATTCGCGAAGCAAGTCCTGCTACGGTTTGAGGGCCGGCCTTAGAGCAGCAAGCGCCCTGGGCAGACTGCGGCCGTGGCCCCCCCCCCCCCCC